ACGGAACTGGTGGATCCTTGAAACATACAAGGGACTCCTCCACTTCTTGGGAGGCATGATAGAGTGGATGGCATATAGGTCGTGATCTGAGGACCTCAAGTAATACAAAGCCATCTCAAAATCTAAATGCGACAATGCAGAGACTGCTTTGTGTACTTGAACAAGTTCCACCTTTGTATGAACTCAACATGTCGACTACTTTTAAGGAGCTTTCTTTCCCCACCATGTGCAGCTATGGATTCAAGAACATCCACAGCACTTGTTATGCTGTAATTGAGTGATGTCAAAAGAACATTTCTACGAGCAGCATCCTTCTGCACAAATGACAATGATGAAACCTCAGAGAACGGCCCAAACGGAGTCTGCCCAGCACACCATGTGTAATCCACCAATGTAGTATTGTGCCTAGGGCTCCACAGCATATGGGTTGGTGACACTCCCCACATGCTCTGTAAACACATGACGCCCGTTACAGCTATATTCACTCACAGTCTCTGTGTTCTTCGTCCTGACTGCAATGCTGTAGTCCTATCTTTAAAAGCAACAGATTGGTGATACCTATCGAGCAACAACAGCATGCTGTAGTCCAAATCAAACACATAAACAGGAAGAACCCTCCCTACCAAATCAAAAAAATTACCGAAATACATGTATTGCTCTCAAATCAAACAGATTGTGATACCAACTATAGCCGCACGGCTATACTATTTACTAAAAAAAAACATTCCAAATAAAAAAAAATGTTTTCCCCGATTTTTGTTTATCGATAAGGTTAGTTTAAAGTATTATCCATTACTATTAGGCCATTATCCGAGTCTTTATTGTCTCATTTTGAGTTTTTGTTTTTTCAGAGCTATTACCCTTATAAAGAATTTAGCATTTCACGTTTAATACTCGTATTATACGCATACGTATGTATTTTTCATCTTTAATACACTTGTTTTTTTTACAAATTTTTCAATTATACACACAAAATTCAAGTATATATATATATATAATTTTGGCATATTATTGAATAAAAATAATATATATTAAACATATTAAATTATTATATGTTGGCCGAACTTATCATTTGTAATTTGACAAATTATTGCTGAATAAAACACGTACGTATTTTATTCATATTTTTCCCGTTTCGTATTTTACTAACTATGAAAGAATGCGAGAGGCTAAGATTATTTTTTACTTGTTGTAACAAAAATGCAAGATGGTGATTTTGCAATCTCTTTGCCAGCCGAAACAACAATTTCAAACAAAGATTTATGGTTGTAGTAGTAAGCGAGGTGGTAGTATTCTTCATGTAAAGAGTTGTTTGAAATATGAACCAATTACCAAGAATGCTCAAACTCAGCATGCAATTCTCTATGACAAATAATGTGTGCAGTAACAAAATTTAGTAGTATTCAAGAGAACGAGATAAACCACAGGCAAACATTCCCACACAAAAAGAAGAACAAATTTGACTCTCAAATTGATTTATTGTGAAATTTCTCACTCTTCACTATCTCATTTGGATATGTTGAAAGAGTATAATATAATATATATTATACATTTTTTAAATATAATATATTTAAAAAGTATAGCTGCGTGGCTATACTCGGGACTTTTTTTTAATAAATTGTATGGCCGCACGGCTATACTTTTGAAACAGAATATATTTAAATAGTATGGCCGCGCGGCCGTATTCGAGATTGTTTTAATTTTTTTAATATATAGTATAGCCAGAGGCTATACGCGGTACTTTTTATTTTTTTAATAAACTTGAGAAATAAGAGATTAGAAATAAAGATGCTGAATTTTGAACAATATTACTTTCAAAACCATGTAAGTGTATAATGGTGCACAATAGGCCTAAGAAACTGTAAAGAAAAGCTAAACAAGGATCCCCATAAAGCCCAACACGGTACAAAATCTAAAGTTAGGTGAAAAAAACGAACCAGGTGCACTAACTGGCCATTTATTGTTCTCTCATGATATGTTCAGTTTCATAATGTTGTCATGATATCGACTGGAACAAAAAATATGTTCACTGTATGTTGTCATGATATTGACCAGGCCCCAAAAAGAAAATGTTGTCATCTTAACGACAGAACTGGCCACCCTTTGCTACAAATTTAGTAGCTTAAGCTTGCTATAAATGTAGGTGCTTCCCTGCATGCATTATCACATCAGTCAAACAAAACTTGAAACATCTTCCAAACTCCCATTGTTCCTGCTCTCTCTGTGTCCTACACTTCTTCTCAAACTTTTTGAACATTACAACTTTTGAGAGATGAATTTGGATCACTTGCCCGAAGACTGTTTTGCGCATATTTTATCATTTACATCTCCCGGAGATGCACGTCATTGTTCATTAGTATCAAGGTCGCTTCGCACCATGGCTGATTTGGATAGCGTGTGGGAGAAATTTCTGCCATCCGACCGTGCTGAAATTCTATCCAGATTAGTATGTCCAATAACTTATTCCTCTAACAAAGAGTTGTTTATCAGGTTATGCAGTCCAAATCTAATTGATGGTGGTAAGAAGGTAAACTTTCAATGATTATTTACATTTAATTTGATTTTAAAATGACAACATCATAATTAAAGAATTCTCATTCAAGTTAGAATGAACCTAATGAATGAGTTTGAATATGTTTTTTTTTTTGTTTTTGCTTTTCAATCTTTTTAAGTTAGTGTTGTGTGATGCCTCAAGGTTGCCTATGCATAATACGATTCAAATATTAACCATATATATGCAAAAATATATATAGGGTCAAGAAATTGATCCAATATTTGACTATTATTGCATTTGCAGCCTTTGGCAATAAAAGGAGAGAGAATGCATAGAAAATGTACCCTCAAAGAGTATGCTTTTGCATTGACAGGCGGTGGATCAAATATGAATTATACAATCAATTAAAATTCATATTTGTTCCACTGCCTGCGGATGCACTAGTGGCTTTAGGAGGCTATACCACAAAAGGGTTTTAATTAAATGGTTAAATTTTGATCAAATAATTATTTTCCTGATTGATGAACAACAGATGTTCTCAATAGAGAAGTCGACAAGTAAAAAATGTTACATGTTAAGTGCAAGGGATGTTTCAATTACATGGGCATGCAATCCTCTGTATTGGACCTGGAGACCTCTTGTTGAATCAAGGTTTGCATTCTCTAATTAAGCCTTAATTACACTTTCAATAAAGCTTAAATGTTATTAATCTTGAAAACAACAATTCAGATTTGCAGAGGTTGCTGAACTCAGAACCATTTGGTGGCTGGAAATATGTGGCACAATGAACACTCAAATGCTGTCACCGAAAACAGTCTACGGGGCCTATCTTATGGTCAAGTTGGCTGATCGTGCGTATGGCTTAGACTCTTTGAAGTTGGCAACTTCAAATCACAGGGTACAGTTTACTTGAGCACACGCCATGATCAAAGTAGGAAGCAAGCTGCTGCTGCTGATTTAGAACATGAACATTTTTCGAAGCGGATCGGAGCTTCGAGACGGAGGGTTTTAGAAGGAGATCATGGAGGAGGTCTCTGTGAGCGCAAAGATGGGTGGATGGAAGTAGAAATAGGGAGCTTTTACAATGAAGGCTGTGCCAATATTGATGTAAAGATGAGCCTAAAAGAAGTGAAGGGTGCCCATCTTAAAGGTGGACTTATTGTTGAGGGTATTGAGATTAGGCCAAAAATTGAACTCTCTGACTCAACGGCTTTGAAGTATAGAACAATCTGAACACAAAATGATCCCATTTCTTTTTCTTTTCGTAGTAGAATACGATTCATCTACTTTCGTTTTGGATGGTGGAATTTGAGAATTAAAGTGGCATATATTTGTTACTTGTTATCTCATTCCTTTCTTATTTTCAGAGAATTTTATGAAATTTATGGTAAACTTCATATTTCACGAGCAAGGTTAAATTCAGGGGTGTTAGTGTAAATAACTCTTGTCAATTCCACGAGCAAAGTTCATTGCTGCATGAATTAAAAATTGAGCATAGTTGCATTGACAAAAGGAAACAATACTAGAAGAACACATAAACATCAAATATAAACTTTGCCTTTTTGTAAAACAAAATATTGGGAATGTTATGTGAGCTCAGATGTATGTGGATAGAGCTTTTTCCCGGACCACAAAAGGTCTCATAATGAGCTGGGATTCACATTTATCCTCATTGCAAAAATAATAATACTAACTCAATTGAAATAAAACAAAGTAAACCCTACAGCAGAAAATTGGATATAATCATCCAAAACCAAGAAGGAAAAAAAAATCAATATCAGTATCAGCATAAGTTCATGAAAATAAACTAAACCACGGGAACACAGATTAAACATAAACATTAAAAAAAAATTAAGAAAAATATAGATCAAAAATGTTTTTCTGGGCTCAGATGTATTGGATCTATCCTATTCCCGGACCACAAAAGGTCTCATAGAGCTGGGATTATCATTCATCATCATTGCAAAACCATAATTAATAAATAATGATAATTTAACAGAAAGAAAGAAAACAGAGTAAAACCTACATCAGAAAATCGATCAAGAACTAGAGAAGAAAAGGTTAAAGAAAGCCGCCTAGGTTTTCCTGGAAGAGGACGACGGGAGAAGAGCGTATGGAACGGCCACAAACTGGTGACTGAAACAATAGGGTTTAAGCCGATATATAAGAAGGGAATCATAAGTTTTCATAATTTCCCATTATGACCCTAGGGATTTTCATGAATTACAAATTTGATTTGGGTAGTTGACAACAACTGGGCCCATTGTTAGAAACCCAATACTGTATTTTTGTGTCTAACTAATCACTATTCAATTAAGGCCCAATCCGAAGGGAAAGGCTTCCTCAACCAAAAAGGACTTGGCTTTAGGCTTTCCTACTTATAATAAGAACTTCGCACCTTATAAATACGGAGCCATTCATTCCTTTTTGCAGGCAAATCACATTCGGAAACTAGGACTTTCTTGTCTCTCTCGGTTCGCCTTCTCCAACTAAGGCTCCAAGTGAGATGGCTTTAATGGAAAGAACTCCAGGCAGATGGCCACGTCCTGTTTGGCATGCTCCTTGGAAGATGTATAGGGTCATTAGCGGCCACTTGGGATGGGTACGATCCATTGCCTTTGATCCAAGCAACAAATGGTTCTGCACCGGCTCTGCAGATCGCACGATCAAGATATGGGATGTAGGAACCGGAACGCTACAGCTCTCACTGACAGGACACATTGAACAAGTACGAGGACTTGCTGTTAGCAGCAGGCACACCTACATGTTCTCTGCCGGCGATGACAAGCTAGTTAAATGCTGGGACCTCGAACAGAACAAGGTTGTCCGTTCATATCATGGTCATCTGAGCGGTGTTTACTGCTTGGCGGTTCATCCCACGCTTGATATTTTACTCACCGGTGGACGCGATTCTGTGTGCCGGGTTTGGGATATTCGAAGCAAGGTGCAAGTTTTTGCATTGTCGGGGCATGACGACACAGTTTGCTCAGTTTTTACTCGACCGACAGATCCACAAGTTGTCACCGGCTCTCATGACTCGACCATCAAGCTCTGGGACCTTAGGTATGGGAAAACAATGTCAACACTTACACACCATAAGAAATCTGTGCGTGCAATGGCGCAACATCCTAAAGATATCAATTCTTTCGCATCTGTATCCGCTGACAACGTGAAGAAGTTCAACCTTCCGAACGGCGAATTTTTGCACAACATGCTGTCTCAGCAGAAAACTATAGTTAATGCAATGGCTGTGAATCGGGATGGTAGTAATGCCTGTTAGAGATAGAGATATGCTTATTCAGTGGCACAAACAATTGCGCAGCCTGGCTCGCTGGATGGTGAAGCTGCTGTATATGCTCTTTCCTATGATGTAACTGGTACAAGGCTGGTGACTTGCGGAGCTGATAAGACGATCAAAATGTGGAAAAAGGACCAAAATGCCACTCCAGAAACCCATCCTCTCAATTTCAAGCCTCCTAAAGATATTCGACGGTTCTAGTGTAAGATCTTCCTTTGTTGTTGCTCTGTTCGGTGACATGTGTAATGTTGTTTTTTCAATCGAAGTGTAATATTGTTTTACTGGAGTGATTTGCTATCTGCATGTTGTTATGAGATGAATTATACAAATTTTGATGTGTTAGTTGACCAACAAAATACTCTTTAAGTTTTTGTTTTTGTTTTTGTTTTTTTTAAAATAAACGATATTTTAATTTAATATAATCGAAATTAGGGAAGGAGGATTCGAACTCAGTCCGCACCAAACCAGCGGTCAGAGTTAAATATATTTCCAACATATTATAAAATAAAGTCTTATTAAACAATAACACAAATACAAGATTTGTAACAACAACCAAAAAAAGAAGAAGCAGAGGATTATATTTGTAATTAAGCTACAAATCTTGTAGAAGACAGGGAATGGGTCTGGCCCGATAACAATACACAATGAATGGGATCAATCCACAAGAAGACCCATGAGACCCGACCCGAATAAATCACAACGTTGCCAGTGCCTTATAATTAGATCATTCGTTCGACTTGCGCCTCACCTTTGATTTCTTCTGATGTTTTGATCTGAGTCTGAGAGAGACTTCTCTGTTGAACTATCTTGATCTAGAGATGTCGGCTCATTTCCATCGGAGATTCTGAGATTTCGCTTCAAAATGGAGGACATGGGAGGCCGACATGGACTAACGATTCGAAGATGGAGGTTTCTGGGGAGGCCAGCATACGAGCCGTCGTCGTCGTCGCCCTTGGTGTTCGCATCACGAGGGATCTGCGAGAAATTTGCATGAAATCTTCGAAAGCGTAGCGTAAATCTCTTAATCTCTTCTTTAAATTCGTCAATCTCTAGCACATCTCAAATCCTAACTCCTGAGGACCTATCCCTAACCCTAATTTACCATTTCATTTTACCTTGTTTTAGATCGAAGAAATTTGTGCATACGAACCGTTGTCGTCGGCCTTGGTGCTCTCGATCTGCGAGAAATTTGCATGAAATGTAAGTCTCCCACTCTTTTCTTTAAATTCGTCAATCTCTAGCATGTCTGAAATCTTAACCCTAACCCTAATTTACCATTTCATTTTACCTTGTTTTAGATCGTAGAAGCTTGTGATCGGCCTCGATCTCCGAGACCTTGGCAGGGTTGCATAAAGAGAAACATCTTCAGACCCATTCATTGCATAGCTTCCACTTCCAGCGAAGATCTTCAGGTGAATGTTTGAATTTGTGGTTCTTTAATTGATTGGTTTCTTGTTCGGAATTGAAAGTTTTAGTTTGGACTGTGCTGAATTTCTCAATTAGAACGCTTAAGTGTTGGGGAACATGACAATTCATAAGGTGCGTATAAATTATGTGTGGCAAAAGCGAATGGCTTTCGTCAATGGCCAAAGTTGGCATGGTCCTTTTAATCCTTTTAGAAAAAGGTCTCTTTCATGCATTATTACTAGTGTGGTTTCTCACTGCGAAGCAAAACACACATGGAATCGTAATTGTACTTGTGTTTAAATTGTGTAAGTTGTTTGTTGCATGGTATGTTTTAGCTGCAATTCTATGTTTTGTATGTTTACTTTGTTAGAGTAAGCCAGAGAGCTTTAGAATATTAGAAAGCAATGTGTGAAGTGGCTTCAGAATATCTAGGAAGTAAAGTTCTAAAGTTATGACGAATGCTGAGGCAAATAAGTGGGTTTGCTTGCAGTACAGTTGTTTAGGCTATAGCAGCCTGAATATGATAATGATCATAGTTTTGTATGCTATGTCGAATTCATGCTTAAAATCATAATAGATTTTGTTGAGGTGTAACTGTGTTAGTTATTTCTAGAGGCTGCTACAAGTCTTCTAAAAGGCTTGTGCCTTAACGTAAACGTCTTGTTTGTGGAGATGAAAAAATATATATCTAAACTAACTATAATATTGTAAGTATAGTATGAAAATAACCTTGAGGGATCTTCTTTTTCGGTCTTAGTAATAGGATTCTTATTTTATATTACATTGTATAGTCTTCCTCTGTTCAGGTTGGTTTAAATGTTGTGTTTGCTGTGTGCCTCATTTTAGCTAGTTGGCTTGGCTGCTTGGTACTTATTGGGTTTCCTTTGTCTAGGCCCAAACTTTTCGGTTACACCCCCAGTAATTGCAATTTGGGAGGGACTAGTATTTTTTATATCAATTTTCGGGGATCAGTACTTCCGCAATTTTGGCCCAAAAGTTGCGAAGTTGTTCCAAGAAGTTTACACCTTTGTGTATTTTATTGATTTTTCATCTGTATTTTTTTGCCAATACTTGATATTCTTTTCTGCAGCTGTGCTTCTGTTTATATGAATTAATTTGGTTGTTATCTGTTTTTCTTTTAACAGCCCTTATGTAAAGGTTGAAAACGCAAAAAGGTCCCTGCCGAGAATGCATGGGTTTGTTTAAGATGAAGCAAAGGTCGCTGCTGAGAGAAGGCTTGGGATCTTGAACAGCACGGAATGCTTTTTTGTGTGCGCGCGCGCGTTTCTTTTTTAATTTTATAATTTTTTCAGCTCATATAATGAATAAGGACAATGAATTACAAAAAATAAAAACAATTAGATAGCAGGTAAAAATAATTGCATGATATGGAAATATGACATTAATACGGCTACATCTTTAGCCGGTAACAATTATTTGGACAGTTTCCCGGGCGAACATGTTCTAGGCCTACTAAAGGGCTTCCAAACGTTAAAATTGGCCCACTGAAAGCCCCATAAAGACAAATTAAGCCCAATGAAACTTCAGAACCGACAAGATAGGCACACAGAAGACCACAGAAACGACAAAAAAGGCCAATTAAAGGCCCTTTAAACGACAAAATGGGCCCAATAGAGGCCTTAAAACGACAAAATTGACCCAATAAATTCCAAGAAACGACAAAATAGGCCCACTGCAGGACTCAGAAACGACAAAATAGGCCCAGTGAAGGCTCAGAAACGACAGAAGAGGCCCAGTTAAAACCTTAGAAACGACAAATTAGGCCCAATAAAGCCCCAGAAAATGACAAAATAGGCCCATACATGCCTGAAAACGACAAAAGTAGGCCCAGTAAAAACCTCAGAAACGACAAAATAGGCCTGGTATAGGGCCAGAAAACTACAAAATAGGCCCACTAAAAGACTCAGAAACGACAAAATAAGCCCAGTGCAGGTTCCGAAACGACAAAATAGGCCCAACAAAGCCTCAGAAATAGACAAAATAGGCCCATCCAAGCCAGAAAACGACAAAAGTTGGCCCAGTAAAATCCTCAGAAACGACAAAATAAGCCCAATATATGCCATAAACGACAAAATAGGCCCAGTAAAGTCTCAGAAACGACAAATTAGGCCCAATAAAGGCCTCAGAAACGACAAAATAGGCCCTGGTAAAGGGCTCAGAAACGACAAAATAGGCCCAATTAAGTCCGGAAAAAGACAAAATAGGCCCAATATAGGACCATAAACGACAAAATGGCCCATTGAAGGGTCCACAAACGACAAAATAGACCTTTTGGGCGTTATTGGGCCGACTTGTTGGCTAATGTTCAAGTTACTGGGCCGAGTTCTGAGCCCATTTGAGCGTTATTAGAGCCTTTACTCAGGTTATTGGGCCCGCATTTGGGCTGCCTTCAATTTAGTGAGCCTGTTTACAATTTATTGGCCCGTTGTTGGGTTGTTGGGCCTACATACGCGCGGAATTTCATGTAATTGTCTGGGCCTTCTTCACCGTTAAAATTTCACTTTCGGTGACCCACTTCCGAAGCTTTGGGGCCTATTTAATGCAAGATTATAACTCAAGTGAAATATTGAGCCAGTTATATCAAATTTGATTTTACTAAATTGAAGTTCTTTTATCAATCTACCCAATTTTTAAAAGGGAGAGTTTGGAAAAACACAAAAGATAGAGAAATTTTGTAAAATAAGCAAAAATAGACAAAATTACCCTTATTTAATTTTGAATTTCTTAAGGAATCCTTTACATTTGCATGTCTTTGATTTTGAAAGTTGAGAGGTTTTTCTGTATTTTTCCAAAAGTGAACTTTTTTTTTTTACTAAAACCTAAATTTACTTTTTTAAAATAATGAGTTTGTAAGGTTTACTTTTTTAAAATAATGAGTTTGTAATGGTGAATGGATCCGCCGTCAACAATACTAGAGAAAATTTGATGATACTGAAACACGGAATCGGACCTACTGGGACTTACTGGACCTACTGGGATTATGGGACCGACCATTCAGTCATCCAGTGTTTTAACTCCTAACATGTAATGACATTTCTATTTTAAAAGAAATTAAAATATCAACTGCAAATTGAAAAATAAAAAATAAAAATCGAAACACTTAATCATAGAACTAAAACAACTAAACAAAAAAGAGATTCAAAAACACTTGGAAAAAAACCATGCCAGGCGTGCTTCAACTCCAATCCTCTTTCCCATTTGGCTTTCATCCGTTGCCTTCATTTTCCCACCCCCTAAACCGAAACATATGAAAGGAGATATGAGGAGACGGAAGAGAGAGAGAGAGAGAGAGAGAGAGAGAGAGAGACACACACACACACACACACACACAGACCATGCAATGCAAAAAAAAAAAACTGCAAACAATGACGGAAATTTGAAAAACGCCTGCAAGGCCAGAGAAAGAAGTAAGTCGATGTAGAACAATGTAACACACACTTAGATAGCGACCCAAAGAAAAATAAAGTAACGTAAAACCAAATGATATCACTTTCATGCTTCACAATTTAAAAAAAAAAAAAAAGGTTTTTTTTAATTAAACAAGAAACTTTAGATGAAGCAAGAAGAAAAGTTAGAATGAATGAATAATAGAGGCAGGACAGAAACCTCTGAAGCAAGGTTAAGCAACTGGTACACTGTTTGAAGGAAACCCATCCGTAAAATGTAACATCCCATAACCAAACTCGAACGTCAATGAGGCTGAGTGGGCTCAGTTAAATGTATGACCTGCACATTCATCAATAAGGAATAAGAACCACAAAGAAGAAAATGGGGGAAACTAAAGTCTGCCAAGAATATAAAGGGCCTTTTCTCATTACCAAATCAATTTTGTGCATAGAAATGTAAAAATGCCAGCCACTAATGATTCATAACTACACACACACATGTACTAGACGCATCAAACAGAAGCCAAGCATGTAGATTACGATGACAGTGACCGTACGAAGAGACAAACTAAGGTGTGGGAAAGAGAATGGGTGTGCTAAAAGTGGATGCATGACCGTCAGGTAAGATAACCTGCTTGGATGCATGACTGGACATCAAAATGTGAGACTTTATGCATTATAAGCATCATTGACCAGAAGGCCAGCAAACCACCACATCATATGAGGCGAGCTCCATAATAGAATCTACAGAGATTTAAAAAGTAATCCATATAACTCTCAAGCCCTAACCTGAATACAACTAAAAACTGTCCGACTTATAAAATGAAAACCTAAAGCGCATAATGCCCTAGGGAGTTATTCGTGCATGTTCCATAGACAAATTGAAAACCAAATGCTCGTTTTCAATCAACTTAACAATGTGAAACTCCAAAAGTAGTGTCTAAATATAAAGCACAGAGGCTAAAGTAAAAACAAAGTTAGATAGATATGAACACAAATTTCAAGTATTTTACATCAGCAGAATAACTAGGTTAAATTAATCAAATATTCCGATTAAAAAATAGTCAAGAAGATGGAATGTATAATGTTTTTTCACCCGGAGAACTAATTGGATTGCTACGAGCTGAACGAACGGGGCGCGCTTTGGAAGAAGCGATTTGTTAAGGGGAAATTGAACCTTTTCTTTTTCTCCAAACAGGTATGAAATGGATTCTTGCTACTAGTGTAAATCTAGCACTCAAAATTAGGGTTTAAATCATCGATTCAGACTCTTACCGTTATCTGAGACAGATCCTGATCCGCGCGACATGGCTACGTTCTGGATTGTTGTCATCTGCATCGTCGACGCAGAGACCGACAATCTCACCGTTCTCTTTGCACCATCCGAAACCCTAAATCATTGCCTTATTCGGATCCGGATCAAGCTCCGGACAAGGCAATGAAAATGATTTAGGGTTCGTATTTTGCCATAGGGCTCCATTCTCGAATGTCGTCTACCCAGAGACGCGAGCGACGGAACCCAGGGGTTCTCTATTCTCTCGGACTCCCTCTCGCTCTCTCGGTTTCTCGCTTGGAATTGGAAGTCAGATCTGATTGTAGAAAGATTTGAGAAGGCCATTTTTCGTATTTGCCAGGTTATGATATAGGCCTTTTTGTTTTCTTTCCCGTTTTGGGCTTTTTTATACGAATTTCACCGAGACCCAACAATACTCTTCCTTCTCTTTTCTCAAGATATATGCATTTGTACCATAAATATAAAGGCAGCTAGCTATACTTTGTAAGTTTTTTTTCCCATTACGTGGGCTTTATCAATTTGTAAGTTTCTTTTTAATTTTTTGAGCTTAAAATATTGGTTTTTTTATATATTACTATTGTAACCTTTTAAAATAAAATTTATGTTATTTTATTATTTTATATAAAAAAATTTAGGAACTGGTTGGTTAGTGGGTGGGTCCCACAGTAGACACGTCAACATTTAATGATTGACCACACGGTCAACTTAATAGAATGATGAAATTAGACGATGTTGCAAACATAAGGGTGTAAATTGATAAAATGGATACCATGGGGTCCAAATTGAGAACCACCCCAAACCTACAGGGTGTCTTTTGTCGTTAGCCCTTTTATCATTTACATCTCCTGGAGACACATGTCGTTGTTTGTTAGTTTTGTTGTCGTTTCACACCATGGCTAATGTGGATAGCATGTGGGAGAAATTTATGTTGAATTTCTAACCAGATTAATATGTCTAATTGCTTATTCCTCTAATTAACAAAGAGTTGTTTATCAGGTTATGCAGTCCAAATCTAATTGATGGTGCCAGGAAGGTGAACTTTCAATTATTATTTGCATTTAGTTGCAATGACAACATCAAAATTAAAGAATTCTCATTCAAGTAAGAATGAACCTAATGAATGAGTTTGAATATGTATATGCTCTTTCGTATGATCTAATAGGCCGGTCACTTGCGAAGTTGATAAGACGATCAAAATGTGGAAACAAAAATAATATTAACAAAATTGTAGAACTATGATTGGTTTCTAAAAGTAGGCAATCCTTTCTTTTAAATTTATATGCAAATTAAACTAAGCTTCCTGAGCAATTAAAAAGACATTATTTAGTGACGTACGTATCTCTCCTAGCATCCTCCTGTAAATTTATGTTTGATCTTTTCAAAGGAGATAAGAGAGGGAAAGGACATGGACTTGTGTTGTGGAGAGTTTGTCACCTCCTTTCTCTCTCAGCCTCAACATTAATCAATGATTGGGCCCTCCTCCTCCTCTTTTCTCTCTGCCCGTTTCTCGCATTTGCATGCATCATGCACCTCATTCTCCATCTCATATGCATCATGTCCAGTGTTTGTAAGATTCATGCAACTCCCCTTAATTTGTTCTTTCCTATTTGATTTTCTAGACCAAGAGTACATGAAACTAGTTCATGTGTGACGTGAGATATATTTTATAGAGGAAACAAGCACAGATGATGAGAGAAATGGCAACGTTGAGCAAATTTTCTGAAGATATGATGGGGAATATCCTGTCGAGACTGCCTCCCAAGTCTCTGATGCGATTTAGATGCGTCCTCAAGTCGTGGCATGACCTAATCGATAAACCTAGCTTCGTGGACCACCACCTTTCCATTTCTATGGACAACAAAGTCACCTCCTCCACTTACGTCCTCCTCAAGCACAATGTCCTCACGGACCCCAGCATTAAGGACGACGAGAAGGCAGTTAGAGCTACTCTCTTCAACCCCGACAGTAACCAAAGGGACATTTTACTCTCCTCACTTAATCTCGGCAGCCTTGTCGACGACGGTCTTGAGATTGAGAACCATGTCGTTCCGCCTCCTATGAGAGGATACGCATTGAGCCTAGAAATTTCAGGCTCTTGTGATGGCCTCATCTGCCTCAATACTTTTAACAGCGAGGACATTGTTTTATGCAATCCAGCACTCGAGGAATATAGAGTTCTTCCCAAGTCTTGCATTCTTTTGCCTCCGCGAGTTCCACGTCAATTTGAAGAAAATGAAGAGGATGATTATTATGAAGAAGACGAAGACGATGAGATAGAATCGAACCCGAAATGTGTGGGGTTCGGGTACGATCCGAACTCGAAAGACTACAAAGTTGTTCGAGCTGCACAATTTGTCTCCGGGGTCTTTACCCAGCACCCCTCCAAAGTAGAGGTTTACAGCTTGGCTGCCGATACTTGGAGAGAGATCCCTGTTGACATCCAGCCTCATGGCTCTCTAAACCCGTCTTACCAGATGTACTTCAAGGGATTCTTTTACTGGATCGCGTACTGGACGGAAGAAAGAAATGTCATCCTTTCGTTTGACATGAGCGAGGAGGTGTTTCATGACATAGCTCTTCCGGAGAGTGGCCCAGATGCATATGAATACACAAGCATTGCAGTGTGGAAAGACTCTCTGGTTCTCTTGACCTACCCTGTGGAAAACGAAGCTCCTAAAACCTTAGACTTGTGGGTCTTCGATGAAGACTTGAAAGGTGCTAAGGGTTTGTGGACAAAGCACTTGGCTATAGGACCTCTGGAAAAAGGGGTTGAGGCTCCATTGGTGTTTTGGAAAGATGAGGAGCTTCTTATGGTTACGACTAATGGGGATGTGGTAAACTATAGCCTTGATACACAAAAGCTCAAGCATGTCCCCCGCCATGGATTGGGAGAGCCAACCAATATCCAAGCGGTTCCTTACGTGAATAGTATTGTTTCAATTAAGCCAGGCAACAAGATTGAAAGCATATAGATAAATGCTAACTAAGCTATAGCAACATTAAATATATCTCACCTTCTCCATCAAGGCTTACATTTTGTTGAAATTATTCCTTTTCTCATGTTATTTTACGTACTTTTTCTTCTTCTTTTTTTTTTTTTTTTTGGTTTGAACCACGAGGTGGTCCTGGATGGGCCCCAACTATGGGTGGCACCTTTAAGCCTTAACCACAACCCAGACTAATCCCCGCTCACACCGGGTCGGCACTTTTTCTTCTTCTTTTGATTTGTCTTTGAAACATATTGAATCAGTTACATATAAATTACCAGGATTGTAATCGAATTTAAAATCATAATTAAATTAATCTATCAAGTGGAAGAAAATAAACCACCAGTTAATTCGACATCTATATCTTAATGTGTAGACGAATTTGCCAAATTCTCTACGACTTGAGTCATTTTTCTTGTACCACATTCGTTCTCACCCAAAAAAAAAAAAAAACATTATCTCCGAGCTAATCCTAATCCTGTTTTAAGACCACGTAATGATTAAAGCTACCGAATCATCCAAGCCCTTCTTCCTTTTCAATTTTTTATTGGTGGGAAAACCCTCTTCTACTTCGGGATTTAGACACCTCCCACCTGGAAAACTTAAATCTAACTCGCCACCTGTCTCAACCTTTCCACTCAAACACCCACTGATTTTCTTTTGTCGTATGCTTATATTCTCTGTTCCTCGGACATTATTAAATGCCCAAACTCCAACCATCTCTGTGTCTGACTCAGAGCTCTCCCTCTCACCACGACATGTCGTTGAGCAGCGGCGGCTCAGAAATTCCCGGCAACATGTCCGGGAGAAGTTACAGCGAGATATCGGAAGTGGAGACCTTCAAAGTCGGATTGGATCTCGTATCGGCTGCTCGGCGAAATATCGGGTTCCTGAGAACTGTGGCCGAGTCTCATTGGCTTCACCAGAAGCCAACGGTTATTGAAGCCATAAGAAGGTCATGGTCAACTCTAGCTCTGAGCATTTGATGAAGTATTCTGATCGGACGGTGGATGTTAAATATTTCTGAATTGGTTTTGCAGGTACAATGAGCTTTGGATGCCGTTGGTTTCTGATCTGACGGTCGAGTCAACAACTCCTCCTAGGATTCATCCTCCTATAGACATTGAGTGGGTTTGGTTCTGTCACACTCTGAATCCGGTAAGCTGCGTATAAAGTTTCGTTTGGCTGCTGGGGAAGTTTGAATTTTTCATTTATGTAAAATTTTAAGGTTGTTGGGTTTTTCGGTCAGGTTTATTACAGGCAATACTGTGAGTCAAAGTTCTCAAAATTGATAGGAAAAGCAACCATTTTTGACGATGAGAACGAAGAGTACGCATTAATGAGGTGCAGAGAATTATGGGTCAGAAGGTACCCAAATGAGCCATTTGAGAATGAAGTTTATTCTGATTCAGATGTGAGGCTTCCAGAAGAAGCCAATGAACAAGAGCTTTTGGAGGAAGTGAAAAAGAATAGATTTTTGTATTCGAAATTTTCAGAGCCATACAGGGCTGAAATTGTGTATTTGATAGCAGCAAGACAGAGGTACAAGAGGTTTTTGTTCATGGTGCAGAGCTCCATTGATTTGTGTTCTTCTTTGGTGCCTGCCTCTGATATTATGCTCATGTGGCTATCCCATCAGGTGCGGTTTGGGTTATTTTTATTATGGCCAAAATTAAAGGATTGAGTTTTCATAGTTCCTTTTGATTAAATTACTTCTTGGTTTCTCACTCTGTTTTATATGAAGCAGAGTTACCCAACAGTATATGCTGCAGATTTGAAAGAGATGGAAGGTGATTTGGGGAAGGTGGTATGCATGTGGGCCACTGTCAAGGAAAAAGAGGTGGAAGAGACCAAGAAGCTTTGGGAGAGGACATTTGATCAACCGTATGAGAAAGCTGGTGGAGAAATAGCTTTGGAATTGGATGGAGGTGTCTCATTCAAGCCGACAGTTTACTGGGAGGTATCAGACACAGATGTTAATACGAAATACAAGCCAATGCACCCCAGATTCTTACTTGAGGTCAGTTTTTGCATTCTCTTCCCCTGTCTCTCTCTTACACCTAACTTTGCCGACCCTATCCTAAAAGAAATTATGAGGTAGATGGAGGACCAAAAGTTCTACTTGGTAAAATAAGCACAATGAAAGTCCCCTCTGGGCGCAAAGTGAATGATGGTTTGCATATATTGATAAGACTGGCCGTGGGGCATGCATTAGAGAAATTTGCATGAAAAAGTAAAGGAAAGAAGATTATCACAAATAGCAATTTTATGAAAATTAAGAAAGAATATTCTTATACTGAGAAACAGAGGAATGCCAACAGTTATGTATCTTTCAATCTGATTATGACTGTTTGACCAGTGCTTTGAAATTGTCTTCTTCTTTTGCAGTAATTAACTTCCACTCAAATTACATCTCTGAACTTCTAACATGCTTCTTTCGTGCTTTTATATTTTAAGTTCATCAAAAGCTTAAAAAGGAACTAGAGAAAGATTAGTAACTTAAGACATCTGTTTTTATCTCAGTTTTATTACACTGATGGTACCTTGATACCTCAATGTAGGTTTGTGTGTTTGTCAGGCTGAGGGATAAGATGAAGGAAATGCAAGAGGATATGAAACGCAATGTCCTTCGTCTTCGAATGGTGAGGTGTCACAGGGAGTTAAAGCTTGAAAAACCCGTCTCCGACTTTCCCTATTCATCATGGCGAAAAGCTTGGCATCTCTACTGTGAGTTTGGAACCAAAGGAGTCATATTTGAGATTCGCAAGCGTGGTGGCTCATGTTTTAAAGGAAGTAGTGTGCAAGAGACTGTTACATTCCATTGGAATGACTTACTTAGAGCACCCTCTTTAACTTTGGAGAAGGAAGATCAACAAGTTAAAATTGTTGCTTCAATAACTCCACCAGTTCAAGCACCATACCTGTTGAAATGTGTGCCAGACCGTGTCACAGATGATTCGGGGGCAATGATATCGGATCTGATTCTGAGAATGAACCAGTATCGTCCCCAAGAAGGCCGGTGGTTGTCTCGCACTGTTCTTGATCATGCAGGGAGAGAGTGTTTTGTGATTCGAATAAGGTTAAGTTCTAACAGCTTATCTTTTTTTTATCAGGGGAAGGACAATTTTAATCTTTCGACAGTTACGGCCTTTTCAGACAACATTGTATCAGTTACTTAATTGGATACACATTAATTGCAGGGTGGGAGAAGGGTTTTGGAGAAGAGGAGGCGAAACTCCATCAGCTGTGAAATGGGAGGATAGGATTATAGAGATTCGAGAAGGTTCTTGGTCGTATGTTGCTGGTTCCATTGGTAGAGCCCCTGGTATGTTGTATATATCTGCATGGGCTTCTTAGATACTATTATCTGTTTACAGTTAGTGCTTAATTGCATTTGTTTGGAATCAAATTGTAAACATTTTTCTGCCGTTGTAGTACAGTGAAACTGGTAGGAACAGCCATACCGAAAGAACCACCAGAACAATGGAAAGCTGCTTGGAATTTTTCAACAGGAGACGAACTCATGATACAGTGGGAACTGTCATCATCAAAATCAGGTCTGAGTTTTGGTTTAAAAAATCCAGCTGCAGAATCAATGGTACGTTGGCAATTTCTTTTCTCCAGTGCATGCATATGTATGTAGTTTCGCATAATTTGGTTTGAAAACCAATCATATATTGCAGGTTAAGCTGTTGAAAGGACGGAAAATGCAGTATCAAGTAAAGAAAAAAAAGTCACTGACCAAAGATGAAGAGTGGCAAAATGAGGAAGAAGGTGAAGAGGAAGAAGAAGATGAAGAAGAAGAGGGCTTCCTAACGCTTGTCCGGTACACAGAAGATAATCCAAACGGACGAGCAACAGCTCTTTTAAATTGGAAGCTATTGGTAGCAGAATTGATGCCTGAAGAAGATGCAGTATTGGTGCTTCTTCTATGCATTTCTATACTAAGAAGTGTATCAGAGATGAAAAAAGAAGATGTTGGATGTTTGCTAATCCGAAGAAGACTAAAGGAAGTAAAACTCGGGACTAGAGATTGGGGTTCTGTGGTACTTCACCCTTCCTCAAGTTCATCTATTTCTTCACCATACCTTCAACCTTGGTATTGGAATGCAAAGGCATTTTTAGCATCAGATGGTGCAGGTCACATTACTAGGCAACCAAGTATTTGTTATTCACCAGAGGAAGGTGGTGATAAGTTTTACAAACGAGGGATACTAGCATGAGAAACGATGACCATTTTTGTACTTGTGTTTTTAGGCTTGGGATGAGAATAATCTTTCATGATATTCACTCAAAGATTATTTTCTGCAATATATGCGCCCACTGACGGACTCAGGAATATTTTTAGCGGAGGTGCAATACAGAGAGAGCTAAATAAGAAAAAAAAAAAACGCAAAATTCTTGTCTTGCACGCACACTTGATAAAATTAGGTGATGTTAAATTGGTCATTTATAAAGAGGACTCCTAACTCCACTTAAATAAGAATTGTGCAAGCCTTATTAAAGCCCAAGCAATGACAGGGGTTTTTTATTTTATTTTTATTTTAATAATATTTTTTTTAATATTTATTTATTTATTTAAAGCCTTGGCTAGGATTTAAAAATAAATAAAATTAAGACAACGTGCAATAAGACTTCTCTTAGGTTTTTCATCAAACACCTACTATGCAACTCTAAGGAAAAGGAGAGGTGCGATATGCAGCGCCTATGATGGCTTTTCGCTTTAATAGGTCTGCCACTGTGTGCGCCTTTCACTTGAATTGTTTTTAAAGATGGCATATTTGCTAGCAATTTTGGATTAATTAGATGTAAGAAGCTTGTAGCTCAAGTGGTTAAGAGCATTAATCTATGCGTCCTAGGTTCGATTCCTCATTTTCCATTATACAAGTGGATTAATTAAATGTAAGAGACTTGTAGCTCAAGTGATTAAGAGCATTTATCTATGCGAACTTAGCTTGTAGCTCAAGTGATTAAGAGTATTTATCTATGCGTCCTAGGTTTGATTCCTCATTTTCCATTATACAAGTGGATTAATTAAATATAATAGGCTTGTAGCTCAAGTGGTTAAGAGCATTTATCTGTGCGTCCTAAGTTCGATTCCTCATTTTCCATTATACAAGTGGATTAATTTCGACTCCTCATTTCTCAATATCACTTGTATAAGAAGAAAAAAAAAAGGAAAAAAAGAAGGAAAAGGTGGTGGATTGCATACTAGGTTCGACTCCTCGTTTCCCAGCATCACTTGTATAAGAAGAAAAAAGAAGGAAAAAGAAAAGAAAGGAAAAGGTGGTGGATTAAAATTAGTACATAACATACAACTTTTTTGTCCCAAAAGTAAACTGATACGCTCATGTGTTCTTAGAAGTCATCTAACACACCTTTTAGCACTCATTTCACTTTTAGTGGAAATATAATTATATTAATTAAGCCCTAATTAAGATGGATGGGTTCAATATAACAGAAGAAAAGTATTATATGTAAAGCAGAGTGAAATGGATAACTTGTTTGAGAAGGTAACGTGTCGGTCCAAAAAAGCATGGAATATTGGGGGCTATGCCCTAAAAACGAAAGCACTTAGAGTCATAGACTTCGTCTAGAGAGAAAGCACAAAAGAAGGTGAATTTACAACTCCAAGCACAAAACCTTTCCTCTATATACAAGCCATTCCCACATTTCTTCATTCCCTCAGGTATAAATAAATTTTATACTTTTCATGCGACCATAAAATTCATTTCCTTTCTCCCTCCAACAGAACCAAAGATGGGCTTACCCAGTTTTCTGTCTGTTCTCATTATTCTATCTGCATTTTCATGTTTTTCATATGGAGTTACTTCTACAAAAGATCCCAACCCCTCCATTCAATCCATGGTTATGCAAACTTGCACTGAAATTGAAGACCAAAATTCATGCCTCACAAATGTGCAAGCTGAGCTCAAAACTATGGCCCCTGACAATCAAAATTCTGCTTCAATCCTGACTGCTGCGATTAGGCACACACTTAATGAAGCAAGAGCTGCGATCCAAAAGATCACAAAGTTCAGTTCTTTATCCATCAGTTACAGAGAACAACTAGCAATTGAGGATTGCAAAGAGCTCCTAGACTTCTCTGTCTCTGAATTGGCTTGGTCTTTGGGTGAGATGAACAAAATCCGAGGTGGTGACAACAATGAACACTATGAGGGAAACTTGAAAGCTTGGCTAAGTGCTGCCCTTAGTAACCAAGATACCTGCCTTGAAGGTTTTGAGGGAACTGATAGACGTCTCGAAGATTTCGTCAGGGGAAGTTTGAAGCAAGTCACACAGCTCATTGGTAATGTCTTGGCCTTGTACACTCAATTACATAGCTTACCCTTCAAGCCTCCTAGAGATCACGGCACCCCGGTGAATAAAAGTTCATCATCAGACGATCATTTGCCGGCATGGATCACTGAGGGTGATCAAGAGCTGCTTAGATCCAATCCACAATCGGGTGTGCATGCAGATGCTATTGTGGCAGCAGATGGGAGTGGCAAGTATCGTACAATCACAGAAGCTGTTAATGCAGCTCCAAACTACAGCAGCAAGAGGTACGTAATATATGTGAAGAAGGGAGTTTATAAAGAAAACATTGACATGAAGAAGAAGAAAACCAATATTATGTTTGTAGGGGATGGGATTGGACAAACTGTGGTAACGGGTAGACGGAATTTCATGCAAGGATGGACTACATTTAGAACTGCAACTGTTGGTAAGTACCTTATATTCCATTCTTATATTATATTTTACTTTTGAAGTATTTTCATTAGAACGTATTGGATTTTAAATGCCTAAATTATCATAGAATAGGTCAACAATCTATATCAAGTTTAATTATTACAAATGTAGCATGTTATGTTACATATCTTTTGTCTATGGTTCAAAGATTTTGTGCACTATAAGTTCTTTTCTTGGGATGCAATTATGCAAGTGACATATTTTCTAAATATTACTATGGTTGCAGCCGTGTCTGGCAAGGGATTTATAGCAAGAGACATGACATTTAGAAACACGGCCGGGCCGGAAAACCATCAAGGTGTGGCGCTTAGAGTTGACTCCGACCAATCGGCCTTCTTCCGGTGCAGCATGGAGGGTTACCAAGACACCCTCTATGCTCACTCCCTCCGTCAATTTTACCGTGAATGTAGCATCTATGGCACCATAGACTTCATATTTGGCAACGGTGCAGCTGTGCTACAAAATTGCAAAATCTACACGAGAGTCCCCCTGCCATCACAAAAGGTCACAATCACAGCCCAAGGCAGAAAAAACCCACATCAAAGCACTGGATTTGCAATCCAAGACAGCTATGTTCTTGCCACTCAGCCAACATATTTGGGCAGGCCATGGAAGCAATATTCCAGGACTGTTTTTATGAACACTTATATGAGTGGGCTTGTGCAGCCCAGAGGGTGGCTTGAGTGGTATGGCAACTTTGCTTTGGGCACCTTGTGGTATGGTGAGTATAAGAATTATGGGCCGGGTGCTTTGCTACCCGGGAGGGTCAAATGGCCCGGTTACCACATTATCAAGGATGCTGCGGCGGCTAGCTTCTTCACTGTTGGGAGGTTCATTGATGGAAGGGCTTGGTTGCCATCAACAGGTGTCAAGTTTACAGTGGGTTTGAGAAATTAAATAGTTAATGGAAATATTTGGACTAATATTATATAGATCGCATCTCTAATAAGATGGTTTTCATTTGTATCCTTCTCTAGCATAGTTGTAGCAGATATATGACCAAACATTGTTAAAAATTAGTATTTATTTCTCATTTACATGAGATAATGGAAAATAAAGAGAAAAATTATTGTTGTCTGATTTTTCTTTTTGTATTATTTTTGTATTCATTGTTTCTGTTTAATTATCAGTTTAATCCAAAAAAATAAATGGTCAACTTTAAACCTCTCATTTGGTTCTCTAATTTCATTTTTCTGTTATTTGTAAAGTTTTATATCATCTTCATAATTTAGGAATTCGACACGAATTTTCTTTATAATTTCTTGACTGTCGGAAAGTTCTAAACTTTCAATTACACATTTCATTTTTTGTTGATATCACACCAAAGAATTTTTACTCCGACATTAAGGCTAGTTCTAAATTCGGAAAATGTAGACAAATTTAAACTTGAATTTTTTATTACAGTTGTATATTCAAATTCAATGTAAAGTTTTCAAACGTAGGTAGTTTTCTTCAACACTTCCCCAAACTATCGAAGTTACTAACAATTTAGATAGCTGGCGTGCAAACGACTTGGGGACTAGTTAACTGACCTAATATTGAATATTAATTTTTAGCATGTCTAAAGGTAACTGTCATTCTAATTACTTTAAAAAATCTTAACTATGGGGTCAAATTATTGATGCTCTGTCCTCTGTGAGTGACCAAAGCCTTCTCCATTGAGTTTAATTTTTACTCGACTTCTGTTTTTCACCTTTCCCTTTTCTTGTTTTGGAGAGAGAGTAACAACATCTAGCTTGGCATCGAACCTTCCTTTCCCTCCAAGCCTCATATTTTTTGCGACTGTTACAACTTTATTGCCACCAACATTCAAATCTGTCCTCCTCTATTCACCCTTATAAATTCACAATTCTCTTATGCATCAATTTCCAAACACAAAACAGGGGGATAACTAGCTCTCTTTTGCCTCATAGCTTCATTGGGAGATTTTGTGACAAACAGAGAAAGAAAAAGGACTAATAGTTGTATTCAATTTAGAAAAATACTCTTCGAAAACCGTCGAAAATGGCGTATTTGGAAGATGCAGAAGTGACATCCAAAAGAAGAATTGCTATTATTGTGGTTTCTGGGTTTTTCTTGGTATCAATGGTGGTGGCATTGACTGTTGGTGCTGGCATAGACAAGGGTTTCCACCTAAACCCATTCTCTGACAAGAGAGGCAGTTCCATTGACAAGTCTGCTTCAACAAAAGCCATCAAGGCCATTTGCCAGCCCACTGATTACAAGCAAGAATGTCTCAGTAGCCTCACCTCTGCAGCTGGAAACACCACCGACCCGATACAGCTGATCAAGATTGGCTTCCAGGCTACAATGAAGCAAATCTATGAGGCTACCAAAAAATCCAATCTCTTGCAGAAGCTTGAGAAGGACCCCAGAACATCCATGGCCCTTGACACCTGCAAAGAGCTCATGGAATTGGCTGTTGATGAGCTCAGGCAATCATTTAACAGGGTAGGGGACATTGAAAACTTCTCCAAATATAAAACATTCATCATGGATTTGAAGGTTTGGCTGAGTGCCAGTATCACATACCAAGAGAGCTGCTTGGATGCCTTTGAGAACACTACTAGCTCTACTGATGCAGGGCAGGAGATGAAGACTCTATTGAAGACCTCCATGCGTTTGAGCAGCAATGGCCTTGCCATGGTCTCCCAAATCTTTTCAGCCCTCACTGACTTAAACAATCCTGACCCAAGCCGCCACCGCCGCCGCCGCCTCCTTTCGCTTGATGGCCTCCCAATTCTTGGTCACGGGGATCTCGAATTCCCCGAGTGGTATGAAGCTGGAGTCAGAAAACTCCTCACAATCAGCACTGCTCCATCTCCCAAGGCTAATAAGCCCGACGCCGTTGTTGCCAAGGATGGAAGTGGGAGCTACAAGACCATAAGTGAGGCACTAGAACATGTGCCTAAATATGGCAATGAGACCTTTGTCATCTACATCAAGGAAGGAGTCTACAATGAATCTGTCCGGGTTAACAGGAGCATGACCAATGTGATGATGATCGGAGATGGCACTAATAAGACCAGGATCACTGGAAACCAAAATTTCGTTGATGGCACGCCCACCTACCGTACTGCCACTGTTGGTAAGTAGACAAAAGCTTATGTTGTTGAACTGTAAATCTAATTAGACATGTCATTAGTTTAATTTAAATGAATGGATGCATGCAGCTATCCACGGAGACCACTTCATGGCAATGGATATTGGTTTTGACAACTCTGCTGGTCCAGAGAAACATCAGGCTGTTGCATTGAGGGTGAGTGCTGATGAGGCCATCTTCTACAAGTGCTCAATGGATGGGTACCAAGACACACTTTACACGCATACTCACCGCCAATTCTACCGCGACTGCACCATCTCCGGCACCATAGACTTTGTCTTTGGTGATGCTGCAGCAATCTTCCAAAACTGCACTTTCGTGGTCCGCAAGCCATTGCCAGACCAGTCTTGCATTGTGACAGCTCAAGGCAGGAAAGAAAGGCGCCAGCCATCTGCAATTGTCATCCAGAACAGCACCATCACTGCTGATCCCGACTACTTCCCTGTCAAGAATGTGAACAGGGCATATCTTGGCCGTCCATGGAAGGAATATTCGAGGACCATCATCATGGAATCATACATTGATGATGTGATTCAACCAGAAGGTTGGTTGGCTTGGGCGGGTCAATGGGGGCTCAGGACATGCTTCTACACAGAATTTTGCAACACAGGCCCTGCCGCTAACAAGGCAAGGCGTGTGACGTGGCAGGGGATCAAGCAGATTACCCGGAGACATGCTGCACAATTCACACCTGGGAAGTTCTTTAGGGGTGATGAGTGGATTAAGCTCTCCGGAGTTCCTTGCGTCCCCGGCCTTACCACTAATCGGCGGTCAAAAAATGCAACCACAAACAGGTCGGTTTTGCGAGGCTTCTGAGTTAATTGATGGTGTTTGAGTTGTTCGTATAGCTACGCCAAACTTGATAGAATCAATTCTTCCAACATTATGGATTGAGTAGTTTGCATGAATAGTGGTTTATTGTCAGTGGGAGGCAAAACATGAGCAGAAATTATGGTAACCAAAATAACCCATGAATCGGGATTAGAAATATAATGCATTCCCCAAATGTACTAAACAACGTTCTTTTTCAGGTGAACTGAAACACCATTTTGAAATGATAGGAACTATTGGCGTTTAAAAAAGAAGCAAGTTTTTACTAACCCACGTTGAAAACAAATTTACCCAACAGAGTAACGAAGTAAACACGATACCAGACACCTAAAGAGAAGCAAAATTGGATTCCAGAAATAACACTTTCAATTCTAATTAGCTCAAACCCTAAATCCCTTGCTGTTTCTCTTTCCTCTAGCCTTCTCAAATTTCCTTCCCTTCGATCGGACATAAGGTTTGGTGTGACTGTGTGGCACACCAGGCGCTGGACCAAAGTGTTTCACTGCTTCACGTGCATTCTTTGGTCCTCTGAGGAGAACCTGCAATGGCAGCAAAAAGAAGCTTTACTTGATATTAAGAGACAAGATTTCTAATTTAACTAACAGTGACGTTATACGGTGCTAAAAGTTCATACCACATTCTGACCCAATGGTGCCCTCAAAGCAAGCTGATCAAATGTTAGGCACTCTCCTCCTGCCTTCTCAATCCTGGCCCTTGCAGTCTCAGTAAACCTGAGTGCTGTAACCTTCAATTGAGGAACTTCATAAACGCGAATATCATCTGTCACAGTCCCCACAACCACAGCAATCTTGTTGTCCTTTCCTTGCATATAACGAATCAACCTCGAGAGAGAAAGTGGGGCCTTGTTGACTTTGCTCATGAAGAGACGTTTGAGAATGACCGCATTGAACTTGCTTCCAGTTCTCCGGACAAGAAAGCGGTACAGCTGATTAAGGAAAAACCGAGTATCCGATCAGACAACACATCCATATCATTATAGTATACAAAAACAGTACAATGAGAAAAACAAAAAGCAGAGAAATATGGGAGAAATCATGAATTCGACTAAAAGATATCTGGTTAACAAACCTCAAAGGAACAAAATTTGAAAAATATGAGCTAGTTCCCTCAGAATTTTTTTAAAGATATAATCATGCAATAATCAGCATTAGCATGGTTTAAAAGCATCACAGGGAACATTTCCTCCATAGTTCAGCATCATTAAACAATGCTATAAGAATTTTGAGATACAAAATGAAAGAAAGCAGCTTTCTAGATAATCTGGATCAGAAAACAATTCTAAAAGAAAAATAAATTCAAACGATCCAAAGTATAAAAAAACAAATAATAGCAAATTACACCAAACGGTGCTCTATTCTATCGGAATGTAATTCAAAATCCTTAAAAGAAATAACAGATGCACTTTTTAATTATAAATCAGACTTGACAAACCGAAGTTGCGAAAGGCTCAGATAGATGTGGGTTAAGTCTATTCCCTGACCTACAAAAGGTCTCGTAATGAGCTGGGATACACATATATCATCATTGCAGAAATAAAAACCCCAAATTATTCAAACCCGAAATGAGAGACAGTTTTACAGAAAATGGAGCAAAAAATATTCAATCTTTCAATTTGCTATAGATACACATATTTCCATTCCTAAAACATCTGTAGTATATGTATATTTTACAACAAGCATTCTTCAAGTAAGATACATAAGGGCAATGAAACCATACCCACATACAAAAAGTCGTATAAACGCAAACAAGCACAAAGACAAAAGTATATACCTTGACGAGAAGCTTGAGATAAATATCATCGGACTTGGGCGCAGTGCGCTTGGTCTTCTTGCTCTTACCTCCTGCAACAAGATCGATACCCTGTTTCGCACCAAACGCAATATGTTATTCACACAGAAATACAGTAACATACATGTAATGCAAATAGAGATAGAAATACAGAGAGAGAGATACCATCTGAGCTGTTGGTGTAGAAGCGCGGTTGCTCTGGTTGGGACGCCGTTTAGTGCCGAGTGGACAGACCCAAATGAAGCTAGGGTTTCGAGAAGCTTTATACAATTAGTATTGATGCTGCTAGTGTCGGGCTTTTTATCAAGTGTGTGAGGATCTATTGTTTCTAATGGAGCTTCGGCCGCACACACCGGGTTTTGTTGAAGTGTGGTCCAAAAGGAGCCCTAGCAGGTTTACACACTTGTGTTCTAGGCCCAGTATAATTATCAGTCTAGCCCAAAAAAATGTAGAACAGAAAACCCCAAATTTTTTCAAGCCTGGCCCAATAAGGGCTCAAAGTTTTGGCGGGATGAGCATGTAAAGAGACGATAGTGTGTGTGAGAAACCTTCCTCCTCTAAATTACTATCGCTTGTATTAAATTTTTTTTAATAATGCAATAAATTTGTTCCCCCTCATTAGAATTATAGCTCCCCCGCGAGAGCAGAAATATACACTCCTACGAGTACTGATTGTTGGAGATATATCAACGGTGATTATCTAGAAACAAAACTACTAGCTTGCTTTTGGCCTGATTTTAACCATATTTACTTTGAAAAAGAGATAATAAAAAAATGGATTCGTTTGATATGCATTGAGAGCCGCTATACTGCGTTTGAAAGAAAAGGCTATCAGGAAACCAGTGAAAGTACATTCTGAAATGCTATAATGAAGCTTAATATACACATGCTCAACAAAAACCAACGCAAGCCATTCTAAATCTCTACCCTCAAATTTTGCTCTAATGAGCAAATTTTGACCAAAAGGAGTCTAAACCCCCAAAAAAATCCTCTTCCCTGCACAAGCAATAACATATGCAGTTATGATTTACAAATTTCATAAGAACTTTCATGCAATAAAATTATCGGAAACTTTCAATATGATCAAGCCTTCAACTTTGGGTTTAAGAAGGCGCTGCTTCTCTCTTGCCAAGCTCATCTATTAATAGAATCCAAACTCGCTAGCATCAGTCGGGCTTGTTGTATCTCCTAATTGAGCTGTGAGAAATCTCCAAATAATCAGTTCTTTCCAGTTTTAGGAAGCTGCCCCAAAGAAACACAAAATTACGCCATCATGATTAGATATCATCATACGTACATCATGAAAATAAAATAAAGAACGGTACACATACCTTTTTAAGATTTAACTTGGATGAATTAGAACCACTTGGGGATGCTTTATTATCCACTGGTTTTAATATCTCAAAGGAACACACTAGACCTTCGTCAACACTCAATAGAGCACCAGCGTTATCGAACTCCCCGCCATAGTTTGGAGCTGAAAATATAGTGACTAATCTTCGTTTTGCAAAAAACTCATAGCCGTCCTCCACCACCTACAGTGTAAACTTATTATAACCATAAATATGGGCAAGTTGGATTAAGTGATCATGAAAATAATTTGGCAAATAGTCCTAAGGCTGTGCACATAAGGACGCCTAGAGGTAATGCCTGCAACGTTTTTACTAGAACAAAACACAGTGGACGTCATTTATAAAACTAATTGGGGAAAGGAGAAAGAAGGGGCAGGGAGGCTTATTTTGGCTACACATATATACAGTTATGTCATTTGTATTGTAACTTGGATTCAAGTTCCTCAAACAGAAATAGGATTACCTGATGACCCCGGCAAATGAGATCAAGTTCATTCTTATCTAAAAACTCAATAACTTTATCAGCTCCAAAAGTGCAGGAAACACCTCGATCACTCTCTGCCCAGCCCTCAATCCTAGCATCAGGATCAGACCAAAGCAGATCGCATAAAAGACCATTATCTGGAATGTCAGTTGGCCTTTGAAGTTCCTTTATTTGATCCAAATTTTCCAACTCTGGTGACAGCCCCCCATGCATACAAAGTATCTTCTCATCAATAAGTGCAGCGACAGGCAAACAATTAAAGCACTCAGTAAATATTTTCCAAAGCCTAACATTAAACCTCCTTTTACACTCATCATAGAACCCGTATATTCGATTAATCTTTGCATCTTCATGGTTTCCTCTCAAAAGAAAGATTTTGTCAGGATATCTTATTTTATAGGCCAGAAGCAAACATATTGTCTCCAAACTTTGCTTGCCTCGATCCACATAATCTCCAAGAAACAGGTAGGTTGCAGAAGGAGGGTAACCACCATATTCAAATAGCCTTAGCAGGTCTTGGTATTGTCCATGTATATCACCTGTAAGACGCCTGCAATATTAGGAACACCAAGGACACAGAGAAATATAAGGAGATAATTGTTATGTTTTCTTTCAACTATCATTTCTGCCCTGTATTTGATGCAAGCTACATTAAAGCATCATTGATACACTGTCCCATGATGTACAACAAGAGGACCAAGAAAACAAAATGGTACCAAATACTCAAAATGCAGCAAAGGAACATCCAAATCAAGTTGTTTTCAAATCCTTTTACAAAGTAAAAAAAACACTGGCCATTACGAAATAAAGTTATTTCTTTGCCTTTCATGTTCATTGTTGAGCAGAAAATGAACATTATTAGACAGAAATTGCATCTAATGAAAAAACTGACATACAATGCCCCATGTCGATCACTCAAATAGATGTCCAATTCATCTAATGAACATAGCATAAGAACGATCATATTTTTCTCAAAATTCAAACAGAATACTCCAAAAGTTCATTATCCAATACAGGGCATGAGAAACGCAAAATTGTTACATCCCAATTTAATCCAATTATCAATTCCGACATCATTCTTATTCAATACCAATCTTTTATATAATCATCCAGAAGCATGAAAGCACAAAAGAATAAATGATGCTGGTAATTGGACAATTCAAATCACCATCATGATCATGAAAAATACGGTCTATATATGGCAGCATAGAAGATTTGGCAGAAAGAGAGAGAGAGAGAGAGAGAGAGGGGATGAGAGAGCTGACCACATATGCGAACCGGAGCTCGCACCTCAAGAAGATTAGGCTGAGAAAGGAAGATTTGGCGGGCGTTGACGCAAAGTTGACGGATCTCTGCCTCTGATAGCTGCACTTGTTTTCCTCCTTTGCCTTCCAATAGCCTCCTTATTATATCATCCAATACACCCTTATCCATCATCCCCTCCATTGTCATCATCATCATCTCCTCTGCCTCTTCTGCTCCAAACGATGCACCAAATCTCCAAAGAACCCAGATTGAAATTGTCAAAAATTGGAGAAGAACGAGAGAGATTTGGGAAATCCAGAGAGATTAATCAAGAACTCAACTTTATAGATAGAAGAAGAAGAAAGATGAAGTGGGTCAATAAAGGAAAGCCAATAATTTATTGGCAGCAAAAGTTGAAAAAGAAAAAAAACAGAAAATGAGAACAGACAGAGATGTCCAACTGAGGAGGAGGTAAGATTAAAGCTTTGGATTCCAAGGAGAAGCAACAAAAGGAAATTGAGGAAGGAAGCGAATGATGGGATAGATAGAGATGGGTTGGCAAATTTTTGGCTTGAATGTTTCTTTATCTTTTTTTCTATTTTTCTACCTCCCCTAAATTTTTCTCGCAGTGCCATGTAGATCTCAGTTTTGTTGAAACCTTCAAAGTTGGACGACCAAGTGCGCCAGGAACATAGACCGGCGCATGATAGCAACATAGTACACGTGGATAATGTTCCTGGGTCCTCAGTCATCACCAATGATGGTGGCCATGAGGACGTGACCTCTACATTCTTGCTTAAATTTCTGTATGAATCTATCGCATTACGCATCTATTATTCATTTTAAACCTTCTTGACCCCTAATTTGTAACAAGGTCTGTCGTGATATATATTAGCCACCTTAGTTATTATAAAATTTGAAATTTGTTGCAGTTGATGCCGCTAACATTATTGATATCGTAAATAGGGTTATTGTTTTGTGAGGTCAATCATATCATGATATTTTTTATTGGAGAATACTAGCAATCTTCTCTCTAATCTTTTTTTTTTATGTCCTCCTTTTGTTGTTTGACATGTGTTATTCTTCTTATACATTAAACAAGCTAACTTTTCTTTTCCAAATGTACCCTTATTAAGTATTTTTATTCAAAAAATATTTCAACTTTTTTATTACTCTCTCTCTCTCTCTCTCTCTCTCATCTTCATAACCCACCACTCCACCCAGACCCATCCTCACACTTGGACTCCACTGATTAAGCAAATTGACTCCTTTGCTTTGGTAAAGTCAACAAATGAAACTCCACAGCACCTCTTGAGTCTTTGCAAGCCTGCTGCTTTTGCAGAAAAAAAAATTTCCAGGTCCCTCCCCTTAACCCAAATTCAAAACCATTTGGAAGACCTCACCGGCCCTTCCTCCCTTCTCCATCGTACCACACCCACCCCCCCC